CTGGTGTTAGGGGTTTTGTTATGTGGTCTTTTGCTCTTGGAGGGAGCAATGTCAGCCCAGATGAGAAAAATTTTCATTTAAAATAATATGTGTATTTATGCAGAGACTAACACAAGTTTTTTATGTAGATAGTTAATAGCATGATTTATTATGACTTTTTTTCAGATGTTTACTCTCTTCTTCTGTATGTTATTTCCCTCCACCTCCCTAATTAAGGCTCCTGACATTTCCTTGACTAGATCACTTGTACCCTGCAATTCCCCTCTCTATTGCTCCCCACCCACTCCTTAACTGCACTGGATCCACCTATCTTCTCTGCTTTTCAATAGTACTTTCTGTCTTTCTTTATTTGTTCCTGCTTTCCTTCCTATAAAGGGAAATGTCTATGTGTTTATTTTTGTTTATTTAGCTTGGGGGAAAATTAAACTAAAGAGATGCCAGGAAAAAATGCCATTCTACCTAAATGAGAGTTGTAAGCGTTGACAGTTGTTTTAAATGAGATTTAGCTTGGGGGAAAATTAAACTAAAGAGATGCCAGGAAAAATGCCATTCTACCTAAATGAGAGTTGTAAGCGTTGACAGTTGTTTTAAATGAGATATGTGATCACAAGATTTACTCAGATACACTGGGTAAGAAAGTGGGTGTGTGCAGGTTTCGGGGGGATTATAGTAAATGCCTTTTGTGAACTGCAGGATTTCAAAGCTCACATGTCTGCTGGCCAGTTCACCACAGAATCTGGGTGTGCTCCATTAGCTCTGCTGTAAGGAATGTCACTTGCTCTCTGTGCTCTATGAGGCAAAACAATAGGGCGCTCTCCTCGGGAATAGCTGCCCACTCCTCCAAAGTTCACTCAAAGCCCACATATTTTCCTCTCTGAATAATGCATGAGCTTGATTCACCCATGTGCTGCTAATCTAGCATGGAGCAAACTTCCAGCAGTTTCTGCCTTCTTGTCTGATGTCACTGAAAAACCTCACCCATTCAAACAGGAAGACCATGTGATCAGATTTTGGCAGAGAAGTGTGATGAGAAGGCAGGGGTGGGAGAAGCCCAAGGGTGTGTGTGGGGGCATGCAAACAGCACCCAGTTTGAAAATCTTACCACAGAGGCTCCAGGTAGAGAGAAACATAAGACTGTCTCATTGTGTATCACAGTGAGCAAAACACTTTGTTGAGGATAACCTTCCTACCTTGTCTCCTTTTATAATTTAGGGCCCAAACAGAGACCAGCTCTCAAGCCTTATAGTTACAAGATGATGTAATAATAATAACTGTATGTTACTCCTTAGACCACAGTAAGAAACATTGTCTCACATTTCTGGAGATCAAGTCCAAAATAAAAGGCATGGCAGAGCCATGCTCTTCCAGAAGCTTCAGGGCACACCCCCGTCTTGCCTGTTTGAGCTGCTTGTGGCTTAATTCTATCCCTGTCTTCATGTGGCTTTCCTTCCTGTATATCTTAATATGCCTTATTTTTTAATGTCATCAGTCCTGGGACTCGTGGCCCACTTGAAATCTGCATGACTGCATCTTAACTAATCATATGTATTTCTAAAAAAGGTTGCATTCTGAGACTCCAAGGTGACTTGAGTTTCAAGAAACGTTATTCAATCCAGGACAACCGAAGAGAGTAGGAAAGAGTAGGAAATGACCCATAATTTAAAGATGTCTACGCTGGTTTCTAGATCTGAGAAGTAAGCTTGATGCCTAAGCATTCAAGAGGAGAAAGTAGAAGTCTCTGAGGACCACCTTCCACTCTCCCAGGGAGAGGACAAGGTTACCAGGGCTGAACAGTTGCAGGCATCTGACTCAGGAGGCATCATCCACATCTTCCTCCAAACCCACTCTCTTCAACACCCTCTGCTGACTTTTTTCTCAGAAGATGTATGTCCTGGAGGAGAAACTCCATCATTCACCATAGATTTTTATGGATTTGGCCCATCTTGAAATTCCATAAGGCCACTGCCTCAGGATCTGTAGGTCAGGAAACAGAATCAGACATTGGAGAATCATAAATTCTCAAGTATTGGGAGGAAATTGAGGGACTAATTAGGCACTGCTATATGGAAACAGTAAAGTTTAGAGGTCAGCTTCTCAACCCCACAAGCAAGAATGACCGAGAAAAAACAAAAAGAAACAAAATATTTGCCTAGTGGATTTCTGAAAATTAGGGAAGTATAGTATTGGGCTGGAAAGATGGTTCAGTTACGTCCTTCCAGTGAAAGAGGGATCCCACTTTCTCTTCTGTCCTCTATGGGGACATGCACATGCATGGCAACATATGCACACACACACACACACACACACACACACACACACACACACACACACAGAACACACAGAGAGACACACACAGAGTGACACAGAGAGAGAGATCACACACAGAGACAGACAGTCAGACACACACAAACACACAGAGTGACACAGAGAGAGAGAGATCACACACAGAGACAGACAGTCAGACACACACAAACACACACACACACAGAGAGAGAGAACATGGGGACAGAAGACAGACACACAGAGAGCGAACACACAGATAGAGAACACACAGAGACAGACAGACAGACACACACACACACAGAGAACACACGCAGAGACAGACAGACAGACACACACACACACAGTGACACACACACACACACACACACACAGAACACACAGAGACAGACAGACAGACACACACACACACACACAGAGAACACACACAGAGACAGACAGACACACACACACACACACACAGTGACACACACACACACACACACACACAAAGAACACACACAGAGACAGATAGACAGACACACACATACACAAACATACAAAGAATAGACAAAAAAGAGACATGCACACATACACATGAAGAAAAATGAAATGAATTTTCTAATATTAGAGCAACACAAAGAGACTTAGATGGGTGAGGCTTGTTCAGAGCTTTCTAACAGAATATAGATTTAGTCATTTGGATGCAATAGAAGTTTATTTATGGACTTTGAACCCCAAGACTAAGGGTCTATAGCTGATAAGTCTTCTTGCTGAGCCTTAACATGGTGGAAAGCAACACATGGTAAGAGATAAAGAGAGAAAGATATTTCATCCTTTGTTGGTACAAGAAATCAAACCCAGTTCCTTGCATGAAATTCTGCCACTGACTTACATCTCAACCCAAACTCATCATTTTCAGGCATTCATTTCTGAGATAACTAACAAACATACTCTAATGATATAGGAAATTAATCCATTCTCCAGGTCTAGGCCCTCTATTTTATAATTTTACAACTCAACACTCATGCATTAGGGAGATTGAATTTCCTACACAAGAACTTTGGAAATACCTTCAAACCTCAGTGTCACCATTGTAAAATTTTACCTCAAGCACTCCATGCAGCTCCAAATGACCTCTTTTCACAGTCTCAACGTGTGTGTAGGATTTTGGCTGTGAGTTGTCACTTGCTAGTTTTTACCCTGCTTGGGTTTAATAAGCCATCTGAGGGCGGAAGAATGTGAGGGGGCACAATGTGATGGCACTGTCTTTTGCCTTCTGTTGTTCTAAAGAACACAGTGGTTCTCTCACAGCCAGCAGTGTCCAGAGAAAAGGAAAAGGAGTGACCACATCCTCTCTGTGACTCACCACAGGCTTGCTTCTAAGAGCAAAACTCCTCTCTCTCTCTCTCTCTCTCTCTCTCTCTCTCTCTCTCTCTCTCTCTCTCCCATTAATTAGAATGCTTTTGTTGTGACTAATAAAACACACAGGACAAAGTGCATTTCAAACAAGAATTCTATTCCTTTCCACCAACAAAAATTCTTGAGTCCAGGTTATTTACAAGGTTAGTTGATTTAGTAGCTTAATAAAGTCAAGGGCACGGGTATTTTTTCCTTTATGTTCTAAAGTTGCTCTGTCTCCCCTGTGGTCTCAAGATGGCTGGAACCAATTCATGTATAACATACACAGACATGGAGGTTGGGGTCATGTTTATGTGAAGTTCCATGATCATGTGGGAATGCTCGATGGTCAAAATCTTGAGATTCTTAATAAATTTTTCAATGAATTGGTGCTTTGTAAGTAAAGTTCAAAGGGACAAAGATTGAGCCAAGAGCATCAACTCACAGGCAGCCCTGCCTGGTCTCCTCAAAAAGATATGTTCTCAACCATCTGCTCCTCAGAATGCCAAGCAGCTGGTGTCACCTTCTGCTTCTAACAGGAGTGAGGGCAGAGAAATGTAGGAAGGGTCAGAGGTGGAGCTGAGTATGTCCTGCATTCTTGGTTATAGTTTCTAGCCACTGTTAAAGTTCCCAGCACTCAATTAGATGCAGGAACCACCAAGGCAAGTTGAGAATAAGAGGAGATTGACAGAAAGGAAAACACTCTTGCACTACCTTTGGGAGAAGCCTCTTTTCCTTTTAACTTTTCCCTTGGCTGGACAAATTGCTTACTGGGCCTGTGCAGAATTCCTGCAGAGGAAACAGATTTTATAGTGTTTATTTTCTCTTATGAAGAAGTCTTCCAGATACTTGGGATGATTCCAATTCAGCATGCCCTGGCGTTAGAGGACACACCTATGCTCACACCAGTGACTTCCTAGTGACTGAGCCTATAAGTTGTCCCAGACAAGTCACAGAAGTTCCCTTGGGTGAAAGTAGGCTCTGTCCCTTAATATAAGGCTGTTTGAAACATTAGAGCAGAGTCAGGTTTCTACAAGCAAGGAAAATAGAGTGGGAATTTGGTAGACTGCTTCCATCACACTGTTTTCTCCCCTCTCCACTTTATCATTCTATCATAGACTGAAATAGCTCAAGCCCATGAAAGTAACACATATATGTAACAGCAAGGTCTGAAGACACCCTCAGAAACTATCTAAGCTGAAGATTTTCTAGTTCTATGGCCTTGAAAATTCCAAACCAAAGACAGAGTGAGCTTCAATATCACAATGCAACAAAGGGAGAAACAGTAGTGTTGCTTGAGTTCTAACAAATTAATCCACCAGCATGGCCCTGAAAATCTTTCAGTGCTACTTCTATTCCTCTTAAGACCTCTAGACATTCTCAAAATTGACCATGGCCACAGCATCTTATTTCATTTTCTAAGCAAGTGCAAATTAGCTCTGCTTGGAGGCATAAAATGAGCTAACCCATTGGAACATATGCTATAACAATCACTGTTCTTTACATATTAATTCTTGTTTTTATCTAAGACTTAGCACCTCATTATACCACTCAGTGTTTGGTTCCTATACATTATTTCTGAAATATCAGAATTATATTAAAATCCCCAAGTTTGAGGAATTAGATGACTTGATCAGTTACCAGGATAGTACTAGACAAGAAACCAAGTAGAAGTTGTTTTTTGTTTTGTTTTGGTTTTTTTTTTTTTTTGTCTTTCTACACAACAAATCTTCTGGTCCAGAAGATTATCATGGCAACCATTACACAGCCACCCAGGTAGACTCCCACAGGAGAGCTAGCTGACAACTGATTGAGAATGTGGGGAAAAACATCCAAGTCTGATTGGGCACTTGGGCTTTGGAGAAAACAGATGCCAAGTTGGAAAGACTTCAGCATACTTCACACCAACCACTTCATATTCCATCCACCACTTTAGCCTGGTACACACTCATGCATCCCATAGCCTCATCCCCAAAATACACTATAGTCTAAAAAGCTACATCCCCATGACCACTATCAAAAACACAGAAGAGTTCTATGCACAGAAATTCTGCAAATGAAGGCCAGAGTCTGAGGTTTACATCAGAATTGACATAGCTACCTGGAAAAGAGAGCTCAGACACCTGAGACACACCATGGCAGCCTAAATGAGCATCACTAGAGGAAGAAGAGGAAGGCACCTGACACACAGCAGCTTCTGTCTGGTCACTTTAGAGTCCCCAGAGTCTGAGTGTAGTTCTGTGATTACAAGGCTTGTGACATTTTGATATCTTCTAGGGATCTTTGCTTTCTTCAATCACAGAACAATTGTGTGAGTAGCCAAGACGGCCACACAGAGAAAACCTATACAGAGAGCAGAGTGCATGGTGGGCATAAGTCAGTACTGGAAATCTCACAGTGCACTTGATAGAGTAAAACTTTAGATATTATAATACAATACATGGAGACACTTGCAATGTACAAGCTGGTCCAGCATTTGGATGACTTTTAGCTATGTTGGAAGAAAACTCATCTAAAACCATGGGCTAATGACATAGATTAATGCTATTTGTAAAAGTGCCTTATGAACAAGGACATTGATTTTCTTATAGTTTAGATCAGAGTCCTCATTTGCAGAGTCAAACTAAACCCCAAAAAGTTAAGTAACTTTTTTCAAATGTGTCACTTCCAGTCTTCTGATGCTACTAAAGTTCAAAAAATCTCATTCTCCCTTCCTCCCTTCCCCCCTTCCCCCTTCCCCCTTCC